TCATTGTTTTGGCGCGCCAAACCCCTAAAACGAATATTACCTTTTAAACGCAGTTATTTTAGTCGTGCGAAGCATTTAAATGCACTGAGAATGAGTTCGGTACATTGCTCCGGCCACTGTACATAATGCCTTTTTGTGGCCACTTTAAAATAAATAAATATGATATATAATTCTTATAAGCACGTCTTATTAAAAGTCTTGTGCTACGTCACCACACACATGTAACCAAGTAGTATAATATAGTGCTATAGGTTTATATTTGTAAAAATTCATCCTGAAACGCAAGTGCTCCCCTGTGCCAGACATACCCCTGCAAGTAGGGGCTATATATACACCACGCTTACTTCTTACTACATGTATACGTGAAAAATAGTGAACTTCGCTCGCTCTCCGGCGCGCCGATGCTGGTCACAGTGTAGCAGGGCCACGAATATTGAACAATGTGAGATCCCGGATTGAATCTGCGCGTGTTTCAATGAAGTTTATCGGCCAGCCGTTCTGAGCATTCCAAACAGATATGACTCCTGACGTGTGGCCACTCACAATTACATCCCCTGATGTCTTGTGGCACGTCACTTGTTTTTGAAAGGTGTCAGGTTGCGAATGTGATAGAAAGCTTTGAAACAACCCTTGTGCTGTACCAACACGTATATACACTGAACCAGTCAACTTGCACAGGTCGAGATTCATCCTTTGGACATGAATCATCGAGCAGTTCATACAGAACGTCGTCATGTTGGATTTCTGACTTGCATATCATTCTCCAATTGGCATGGCCGTGTTGCAGTATCGTTTCCACCAGAGCCAGCCACCGCTTGCACCTGATGAGGCTTGCGCCATCCACTAATGCCAAGATGGGCAGCAGAACCTCGTTTGGCACAACATCCATGGCTGCTTGTACTGTCATCACTTCTCGGCGTGATCGCTTGCTGGCGTGCGAAATAACCTAGCAGTAAGGGCCAAATTTCATAAGCGCGAAAATGCACGCTACAGCGACGAGCGACGAAACAGGGCGTTCGCGCGACGTGTCGCGTGCTCGTTTTCACGCGATCGCTCGGTTCTCCAGATTTGGAAACCGTCGCTCATCGCCCGGAAGTGCTGGGCTCAAGCAGCCAATAGCGAAAAACCGGAAAAGAGAAAGACTACATAGGTGCACGTGACCCTGTCCGAGTCACGTATGCGCAACAAAAAATATAGCAATGTTTATTACGCATGTGCATATAAAAAAGTGCTGCAAGGCAATAATAAACACTTTCCGTTTCATTACACAACAATATGTCTTATTTTTAAATTGCATACCGCTCGCTACGTAGTTTTCTTGGTGCGAGTAGACGGCCTCATGCCAGCGACAGTGGAATTCGCTCGCCGAAGCCGTCGCGTGAATGAGGTTTGCCTGCGCTAGCGACTGATCGCGCGAAGACGATCTACGTCGCGTCGCTTGTCGCTGTCACGTGCATTTTCGCGCTTATGAGGTTTGGCCTTAATGAACAGATGCGGAGTCTACAAGCGAAAATTAAAAGTTTAGCTCGTTGGCGCCTAAGTTGAGCAAGTGTTCAAATCGTCAGCATCGGCGCGCAGGAGAGCGAGCGAGCGTAAAAAATAGTGAACTTTTTTGGTCCATGCATTCTTCGCATTCATGGCACACCCCGCTTCTTAAGCGAATTTGTCTAGTTGTAAGACATTGATTAGCCAACGTTAAATATGCCAAAATGCATGACCTGCGTAGTATCGGTTACTTTTTTTTCTTTAAACCTTTAAAACTTACAACCAATAAGTGGTAACGGCTAGGGCAGGAACAGTTACTAACTGCTGGTATTTAAGGTAACAACTGTTACCACCCTCGCCGTTACTAACTGCGCTTACTACCAGGGTTGTAACATATGTGACAAACCATTACTACCCAAAAGCAAGTGCTGCACGTATTAGTACTACCACCTTTTTTAAGTACTACCACCTTTTTTCTAAGAGTGTAGAACACGGGATCGGTATACGGCAAGAGATCTGGATTAGACAACAAGTAAAGACAACCGGTAAATTGTGGCGATGTTTGCTGATAACGTATCTTGAAGAGCAGCACCCTCGCTAAGTATCATGACGATAAGGAACATTTATGCCACGTATCTACAAAGAAGGAGGGGCTGGGCACGGACTCCTTCGTTGTAAATATTTTTTTTAAGACAGTGCTGGCGATGCTGGTGCTCTTGAAGTTCCTCTTCATCCACAAGATAAATACGCAAATAAACGGAAGTGAGTATGTGCGAAATCGCTTTCTTCAACTTTAAAAAGCTTGACGCTCTTCGATGAGAGGATTACGCCGGAGTTTGCAATGCACTCATTAACGAGGCGGCCGGCAGATACGGCTGAATGCGTCCTCCCACGCTCAACTGTTCGGTGCCCAGCGCTGAACCACTGCGGCGAATATCCCCGCGCGCCACGTGCTTGTTGCGCTCATTTGTTTTGCCATTTGCGAGCGACCGCGTAAAAGCTATAGAACCCGTCGCAATATACCCAACGGATATAAAGCTCGGGAAACCACGCCGGCGACAACTCAGCAAATGAACGAGGAGATGCGCTATACGAAAACAGCAATCGCTGACCATATATACGCACGCACGCACGCACGCACGCAGGCAGGCAGGCACGCACGCACGCACGCACGCACGCACGCAAGCACACAACCACACACACCACACACACACACACACACACACACACACACACACACACACACACACACACACACACACACACACACACACACACACACACACACACCACACACACACACACACACACACACACACACACACACACACACACACACACACACACTGGAGCGCGACGGGCCCCCGCAGAGAAGCTGACCTGAATGAAAGATTAAACGCGCTTCAGTGGTTCACTCCTCTCGTCCTCACCTTGCTACTGCGGCGCGCAGCCATTAGACTCGGGCGCGCGGTCATTAGTCCGGCGAGCGTTCCACCGCGGGCGGGCTGTAACACAGCGACACATACGCACGCACGCACACCAACCTCTCGCGACTCGGACCCTGCTCTGAAAATGCGATGCGGGTGTTTTGTAGCGCGCTGCAATGCTCTCTGGCGTAGCGGCAGCGCGTGAAACGGGGTCGTGACCCGTTCCGCGCCTGGCCACCGTCACTTTGTTGTGGCGGGAATTAGAGAGAGGAGAGGGCTTCCCTCACCTTCACTAATTTGTGGTCGGATGAAACACGTCGCCGCCGCAACAGTCAGTATAGTAGGTAGCCTGTGTGAGTTTCTTTCTTTCTTTCTTTCTTCTTCTTTCTTTCTTTCTTTCTTTTTCTTTCTTTCTTTCTTTCTTTCTTTCTTTCTTTCTTTCGCAGCATTCCGAAGCGGCACTTTTTTTACCGTAATGGGCACGTCAGAAAACAATTACTTTGGCCTGGCTGACTTACGTGAACTCTCCCTAGGCGTTTTTTCTTGCATTTCCTTTTTTATCGCTCTGATTTTCACGTATTCTATATACAGCCCATGAAAAGGAGTAAGTAGCTGGCGGTATGCAGAGTGTCCCACATAAATATAGCCAGAGTTTAAATATATGCCGAAACACCTAATTAAGACGCGACCAAATGCATGTTGCTCACTGTTGCCTGAAGTTAGTCAAACTTTTTATTGTGTTTGCAAATATTCTTTAATTAGATATGTTTAATTAACCAACTTTTCAAGAAACGAAAATATATAAAACATTTCGAAGATAAAGTTGTAGATAGGCTTGCAAAACGTCCAAATAGACAGCTTTGAACTTTATATCTGTTAAGTATTCGTGTTTTTCTGCTAATTACGAATGCCCGCGAAATACAAAAAAAAAATGCCACGTGACAAACTCACTCGCGCGTCAGTGCGCACGATGATTCTAGTGCTCCCTGACTTTCCGAGTGTGAACGACACGCTTCCCTCACACAGGTTCACGACAGCGATAATAAGCAGTCACAGCAATTATCGTTTTTGTGGCCTATAGCAAAACTTGTTCATCGTAAAGCCACCACCATCGTTGCGGCCCTGTCGAGACAGCAGAATGGGGGCAAATGCTATGGTCGTTAGTACGCGGAACGTTTGGGAGCACTAGAATCACCATGCGCACTGGCACACGAGCGGGTTTGTCAAGTAGTATTTTTTGTATTTCGCAGGTATTTGTAATTAGCAGAAAACACTATTACTTAACAGATATAAAGTTCAAAACTGTCTATTTGGACGTTTTGCATACCGATATACCACTTTGACATCGATTTTTTTGTATTTATCTTCGTTCCGTCAAAAGTTAGTTAATTAATATATATAATTAAACAATATTTGAGAACACAAAAAATAGTCTGACTAACTCCAGGCAACGGAGAGCAACATGCATTTGGTCGCGTCGTAGTTACATGTTCCGGAATATTTTGCAATGGCTAAAGTTACGTGGGACACCCTTTATAACATCGCTAACATCTCCTAAACATCAGACCATAAAAAGATTACTAGACGACTTCCTCACTCGCACTAAGGAAGATGGGAGATAGATAGATAGATAGATAGATAGATAGAGATAGATAGATAGATAGATAGATAGATAGATAGATAGAGAGAGAGAGAGAGAGAGAGAGAGAGAGGAGAGAGAGAGAGAGAGAGAGAGAGAGCGAGAGAGAGAGAGAGAGAGAGAGAGCGAGAGAGAGAGAGAGGAGAGAGAGAGAGAGAGAGAGAGAGAGAGAGAGAGAGAGAGGAGAGAGAGAGAGAGAGAGAGACGTTTCCCGAGCCGGCACGCTATTTTAGGAAGAGAGCCGCTCCTGCTCGCCGAGCTTCAGCGGCAACTGCGAAATGGAGCGCGTTCTTTTTTCGGCGCATTCGGCGACGGTGAATGAAGCGGCCGCTGTGTGTATACTTTCCGTTGCGAGGAAGGCTGCCTAAGCGATGATCCATTAGGCTCGAATGGCGGCCGCACGAAATTCGGTTAAAAGCGTTTTGTCCATATGGCTGCGCTGGCACGCCATGCCCGACCCCGAAGACGAAAGCGTAAGATGATGAACGAAAAAAAAAAAAATGCACGTGTATAAGCTATAGAACTCGACAGACTGGTACGTCGCGCTAGAAATCGAATCCTCGAATTCTGGTTCGCGATGCTCCCATTTTTAAGCGGTTACGTACGTTACCAGACGTGCTCATCATTTGTGTACCTCCTCGACTGGCGTTTTTCAAATCAAAGTTCTGCATGAGGGTGGGCCCAAAATGCCGTCGGACCGTGAAGCTGACGGCGCGTGATTGTACGTCGGGGTAGACCAAGACAGCTCAGTCTCATTACGAGCGTCACCATGATCATCATCATTATTACTAGCTTCATCATCACCATAAGCATCGACATTTCGAGCATCATCTGCATTTCGTTTAAATCATCCTCGTTTTGTTTGATTTATTCACTTTCCCCTTTGGTCACGTGAACTGCGTGACACCCGACAGACGTTTAGACGGCGCAGGATTTATCTAGAGCAGCTCCGTTGTTAAGAGCATCGACAGCTTCTTTATAGGATAAAAATCATTGATGCTCCTAAGCGCAAGAGCAACACGTTTCGCTTATTACATCACTTTCCCACTTCAATGAAACAGCTACAAGCTTCGCCCCATAGCGCTGACGCACCGAGGCGAAGCCCCTAATCTTTCGTGAGACCCGAAGACTCGGTCGACACTCGGCTTGGGCTATAGCCAAGCGCATAAAAAAAGTTGACGCGGGACAAATAACCATTCCATCAGGCTGTACAGGCCACGTGGCCACCAACAAAGCAAGAAACGAACAAGCAACACGTCTCGAACAAGCGTGCAATGTGACTTCTCACGCAACATCGTAACCGCTATATATTGATACACGCCGACACTTGCACGTCAGGGCAATACCGTGACGTCGTGTCCTCAGTAAGTGTCGCGCTGAATCGAGGCAGCACAGCGCTAGGCACCCACTGTGCGTGGGTGTGAAAGAAGGTTGGAGGTGGGAGGAGGGGGGTAGACGCTGCGGAGTCTGCGCAGGAATACTTCCGGTAGGGATCGCACCTCGGGACCGGAAGTAAAATGAAGACGGCCCCCCGTGTGTCTACCACGTTCGTGTGACGCGCTGCAGACGACGTGCATGCGACTCGTTGCGGATATCTACAGACACGCTTAAAAAAAGAAAAAAAGAAAGAGGAAAGGCTATGACACACTTTGGTCGCGACAACGCCCCTTTACCTCTATCAGGCAAGTTCCACCGACCCGCTTGATTGATGAATTGATGCGTGGGGCTTAACGTCCCAAAACCACCATATGATTATGAGAGACGCCGTAGTGGAGGGCTTCGGAAATTTAGACCACCTGGGGTTCTTTAACGTGCGCCCAAATTTGAGCACACGGGCCTACAACATTTCCACCTCCATCGGAAATGCAGCCGCCGCAGCCGGGATTCGATCCCGCCACCTGCGGCTCAGCAGCCGAGTACCTTAGCCACACTAGAACACCGTGGCGGGGCGTTATATATATATATATATATATATAACGCCCCGCTACGGTGGTCTAGTGTGGCTAAGGTACTCGGCTGCTGACCGCAGGTGGCGGGATCGAATCCCGGCTGTGGCGGCTGCATTTCCGATGGAGGCGGAAATGTTGTAGGCCCGTGTACTCAGATTTGGGTGCACGTTAAAGAACCCCAGGTGGTCTAAATTTTCGGAGCCCTCCACTACGGCGTCTCTCATAATCATATGGTGGTTTTGGGACGTTAAACCCCACAAATCAAATCATTATATATATATATATATATATATATATATTATAACGCCTGCGAATGCATCGAACAAGTGTGCTTCAATGCCGATATCGAGAGGCTGGTTACTCAGTGAACTGTCATCATAGCAGTGTGACGTCACGGGGAGACATCAAGTCGCGACGTCCGGGCGGCAGATCTGTTGATTGCTCGAGGCGCACCAATGATGAGCGAATTGTCGTCCGGTAACCCAGACAGTAATTTTTGTGATTTAGAGGCTGCATGTAGAACGCAAGGTTCTAAATTCAGTGGAACTGCGCTGACTCGTCGGGATAACGGCCTTTGCGGCGATACTGGTTCACCGATGCTCAGCGATGAAGTACTTTAAAACCAGTGTGAAATATTGCATACGTTGTTAAGTTTGGCCTGGAAATTCGTCTGGGCAGACGCCATTGTGCGTAAGCTGGTCTACTGGGGAGGCTCTCAATCTCTTCGGCGCTCAGTCTGCCAGACGCTGTCGAAGATTTGAGCAATTAGCCAGACCATGTGGCAAGCGAAGGCGAGTTCCTGACTTTCAACTACGGACCCTTTCCTCGTCTCTTCGAGAAGCAGCGGTGACTGGTGCCCTCGGCGACTCATCTGGCGATGGGGAAGCTGTTTTGACCGGCGCAAGAGCTGACGGGGGAGCGGCGCTCTTTTAATCCTCAATCACGTAGCCGACCGGCGGGCTGCCTATGCTCGCCAGGCATTGTCCCTGCTAACCCGAGGGTGTTAAGTTTGGCCTGGAAATTCATCTGGGCAGTCGCCGTTGTGAGTAAGCCGGTCCTATGGAAAGGCTCTCTATCCCTTCGGCGCCCAGTCTGACAGACGCTGTCGAAGAAGCGGTGACTAATGGCCTCGGCGACTCATCGGGCGACGCGGAGGCTGGCATGACAGGCGGAGCTGACGGCGGAGCGGCGCTTCTTTAATCCTCAGTCAAGTAGCCGACCGGCCGACTGCTTATGTCCGCCAGACATTGTCCCTGCCGGCCGGAGGATGAGACGTCCTGTCGCCGCGACGCCACGACGAAAGAGGACAACAGGTACGGCGTCTTCCTGGAAGAGACCGCGGTGGCCACCGCAAATCACCCCGCCAATTAGGCGAGCTGTGCGGCAGACCCTTTGATGTACGTTTTCCGGATCGTGGGAACTCTCGACAAGCGACACACACGACGAGGAAGAGCCCTGCTGGCGCCACCTTGAAGTGCAGTGTTCACGTGGACCGTGCATGCTCGTCTCCCTCACCTGTGTGTGTGTGATTGGTGTTCTACTCGGAGAGGAGGAGCCCAAGAGGGCTTAAAACGACGCTGCAGAGTGCTGGACGTCGCTCTGAACTATGTAACGTTCAACCACCACGCTCGTGGTTTGTGAAACCACTATCCCTTCTTTTTTGTAAATATGTGTAAATAGTGACATAAACCTGTTTTTGTTTTCCGTTTCCTCCTGCGTTCCTCCTTCTTCAGACCCATAACAACTGGTGGCAGCGGTGGGATGCCATCAGCAACTTTTTCTTGCGACCTTTACAAGGGTGAGACGTCGTGTCACCACGACGCCGTTCACCGTTCGAGAGAGGACAACAAAGACAGTATCTTCCTTGGAAGAGACCGCGGCGGCCACCGCAAATCACGCCGCTAATTAGGCGAGCTGTGCGGCGGATCCTTCGATGTATGCTGTCAGGATCGTGGGACCTCTCGACTAGCGGCACACACACGATGAGGAAGAGCCCTGCTGGCGCCACCTTGCAGTGCAGTGATCACGACTCAATATTGGACGTGCACGTGGACCGTGCATGCTCGTCCCCCTCACCTGTTGTGTGTGTGTGATTGGTGTTCCACTCGGAGAGGAGGAGCCCGACAGGGCTTAAAACGACGCCGCAGAGTGCTGGACGTCACTCTGAACTATGTAACGTTCAACCACCACGGTCGTGGTTTGGGAAACCCCTAACCTTTCTTTGCTGTAAAAACTTCCAAGCATTTCCCCGAGGGTGAACATGGTTAAGTGCGAATGCACAAGGTGATGCTATGAGGGGTATTTATTAATTCGCACTATTATATTTATTAATCACACTATGGTGCATTCATGGTGTAATGGTTCCTGGTAATCACAATTTGATCACACGGGGGAGTTTACGTTAACTCACTGGCGAATGCGGGAACGTCCACTCGCCGTTGACGATTGCGAGCGGCGTCTTGACGCCGGCCTTCATCGCCCTTCTCCGCCTGACGCTTGCGTTGTCGTTCCGCTTCTTGGGCCGCGTTCGCGGCTCGATGCTGACGCCTCATCTCGGCCTCGCGAGCGCGCAGTTCAGCATCCGCTGCACGCTTCGCCCGCTTGCGCTCGGCCTCGCGAGCACGCAGTTCGGCATCCGCTGCACGCTTCGCCCGCTTGCGCTCGGCCTCGCGAGCACGCAGTTCGGCATCCGCTGCACGCTTCGCCCGCTTACGTTCGGTCTTGCGAGCCCTTCGCAGGGCCGCCTTGTCTTCCAACGTCGGCGAAACCACCGCGGTACCGTCACCTCCAACGACGGGTGCAGTGCTGGCATTCGGTTGTACTGCATTCGTTGTTGATGGTAGCGTTGCCTCCGGGACATCCATCGCACGACCCGCTCTCGACGGGAGACTGAGAGAGAAGGCGGGCGCGCGAGAGGGAGGGGTGCGCGCGCAGCTGCAGCGAGTGAGGAGAGCCAACACCACCTAGAAGACTTAAGGCCCCCTCGCCGCCTCCTCGCCCAAGCGCCTACGTCACCAAGCTCAGATCATCGCTCGGATGGCTGGGGCAACGCCACCTGTTGGCTGGGGACCGACGGCGCGACAGCCCAGTCAGCCTCGCCAACGTCTGCGTCACGTGAACAAGCAGGCTGACAAGTCCGGACAAGAACAGCTACAGATGGCTCGTAGTGACATCCGCAGTGACTGACTAGAACCAAAAATAACTCATTCTTTTTTTAGTTGTTGGCAGTGATTCGGGCTCAACATTGCCAAAAGTTGCAGAATTTAACTACTCTGTTTCAATTAGCCAACTGTATTCTGAAAAAATGGCAGCGCCGAATTGGTAAAACATTATTAAGCAGCCGCATTACCATGCGTCTCCGTCGAATTTCGTTTCACCTATGCTGACCACAATGATCCAAGTTGCTCGTTGGAGCAGTTGGGGTCGTCCTCTCGCTTGCATTCGGATGTCGTTGGTTGGCTTGCGCGCGTGCATGTGCTTTGTTTACCTCCTGCAAGATGTATATTTCCGATTCCTCGCTGTGGTTGTGCGTGTGAACGAAGTGCAGAAATGCCCGGCTGCTGTAGCGCTCCGAACTGCAGGTCGAACTACGCAGGACAAGCCAAACGTGCGCGTGCACGTGTTTCCAAAACGACCCGGTGCGGCGGGCGGCATGGACAAGAGCGGTTCCCCGAAAGGATTTTGCGCCTACAAAGAACACAGTGGTAAGATACGGCTTATAATTCGATACAGTGCTTGTCATTAGAGAGTGTCTCCGCAAACTGCTTTGCATTAGCGTTATACCGGGTACCATGGCCCTAAACGTGGAATGTTAAATATGTGTGGTCATCTAGCGGGGTCAAGATGAACCAGGCAAGCTTAGCATTGTTTTTGCAGCAATCTACTGCATTCCATTTCCCTAACGGGTAAATTCGCGGCGGCCGCCTATTATCGATTGAGCTGACCTTTATATCTTTTTCCTGAAGGAAACCACGCGAAAACAAACAAACGTGTCTATAATTGTGGTTGCACGAAGCGTCGCAAGATGTCCAAGGTATACCGTAATAATAATTATAGGGAAAAATAACGACTTTCTCCCATAAGGGGCAGACTGGGCTGTGAATTTACGTTCTTCTGCCATAATCGATTTAATTGAAGTAGATTTAAAAGGCATGAGGACAACTTAAAGAGAGGGAAAAAAATGAAAAGTTCTTAATTTTTTTTATGAGCCTGGTGGCGCACATGTCACCGCCCCGTTACACAGGGGACGCTCATAGCATCCATCCACCATGGAGAAGCTAAAAAAACTTTTACGCAATGCGCGTTTTAGCGGCTGAGCGTATCGATCACCAGCCTAATCGGCCTGGCTGAATGGTCGGAGCCTGAAACGTGCTCATATTTTGGTTTCATCAAAAGTCGAAAAGAACCGTCTCGCTTTCGACAGTGTATAAAACGTGGTCCCACATAATCCTTTTTTTTTTTTGTCTTTTCAGCTCTGCGAGAAGCATTTCGTGTCCAGCGACTACGTGAAAACGTCAAAGTACACTGATGTGAAGACGGGGAAGACTATTGAAGTGCCACTGAAAGTCTTCCGGCTGAAGCCTGATGCGGTACCAAGTGTGTTCCCGAATTGTCCTCAATACCTCTCTCGTCAAAATGCGTGTACTCGGGAGGCACCAGAGGAGAAACGAAAACGTTTTGAGGACGAATCACTCCGCATTGCCATTGAAAAATCTCTGGAAGAAAAGCAACAACAAGACAAGCAGAACAAAGTTACAAGCTTTTCAGAATTTCTTCGTGCTCTGCCAAGCTTTAACACCTCACCGTTTTGGTCTGTGGTCAGCATGGACTCAAAGGTTCTATTCCTGGATTTGACTGTTGATCGGGGTGCCTCTGTGCGTTCATCGGGATAGTTCAAGACAGCATGTGTGTGGAAGTGTACTTTGGTGAAACGCGCGTAGTGGTGCTTGATGGTGTAAGTGTGCCTGCTCAGTTACAGGACTTGCGGCAACTAAGTGACATCCTTCATCATGTTGAGTGTCTGCGCACTCCTCATTCTTCCAACAATTTTCAGTGGGCTCGTCAACTACTTGCGACTGTGATGGCACTGTTGGAGGAGCTCATATGCAATGATCAGCAACATAAGCTTCATGGATGGCCCCTGGAAATTGTGAAGTTTATAAAATCCCAAGTGCAGCTCATCCTTAATAATGCAGCGCGCTACCCGCCAGACCTGTTAGTATTTGCAAGTCTCCTCTACAACCATTTCGCCGCATGCATACAGATTCCTTATAGGTTCACTGAAGGTAAAGTTGCCTCATCCTGAAACAATAAGACGTCTCTGCACCACTCAACAAATAAGCCCAGCCATGGAGCAGCAAGACTCTTATTTTTTGTCATATGCTAAAAAGGTTGCTACTACAATGAAAGAACATGAAAAGATAGTAACTTTAATGATGGATGAAATTCACATTCAGTCATACTTTGATTTCAAAGCTGGGTCAATAACAGGTGCAGCAGCCAACACTGCAAGCCCGGCTAAAACAGCATATGTCTTTATGACCCAGAGTCTGCTTTCTAATCACAAGATGTTGTGCATATTTTGCCAGTCGCTACAATTGATGCAAAATGCTTGCATGATTTTTTGCGAATGCTAGTTTAAAGCTCGAGCATAATGGGTTTAAAGTGATTGCTATCATCTCTGACAACAATTCTATCAACAGGAAAACAATGTCGTTGTTTTCAAGCCCTCCAAGACTACAGATAGTTTATAAACATCCAGCTGACCAATCGCGACCTTTGTTTTTTGTCGTGGACCCTGTCCACTTATTGAATGTATCAGAAATAACTGGTTAAATCAGCGCAATGCAGGAAGGTGCATGTATTTCCCAGATCCAAAGAGTACAGAAGCCAAACCCAAGATTTTAACCGCATCGTTCAAGACTTTATGTGAGCTGCATGAGTCTGAACAAAGTGAGCTCTTGAAGATGGCTCCGACATTGTCATTAAAGGCATTAAATCCTTCTAACATGGAGAGACAAGATGTAAAGTTGGCATTGAGAATCTTTAATTCATCAACTGTGGCAGCACTTCACAATAGCAACCTTCAGCACGCTGACAGTACAGCTTTGTACATAAACACGCTGCTAACATGGTGGAATATTGTTAATGTAAAGACACCACGAAAGGGCCAGAGGCTTTCAGATGACCTGCAAAAGCCTATAACCTCAACATCTTGCCTCCAGTTACAGCATTTGGAGAAAACAATGCAGTGGCTAGACTACTGGGAAAGTTTGAAGCACGATGCAGGACATTTGACGAGGGAAACGCACTCAGCTTTCTGTCATACAACTCACGCGCTCCACGAGATTACTATTTACTGCCTCAAAGAGCTTGGTATGCAATATGTTTTGCTAGGCAAGTTTCAAACAGATTGTCTCGAGGATCGCTTTGGTCGTTACCGTCAGTTGTCTGGGGCCAACTATCATGTGTCAATTAGACAGATATATGAGTCTGAGACAAAGCTGCGGTTACAGAAAGTGCTCGAGCTGCCAGACGTTGACATGGTGTGCGATATTCCTGTCATTAGTGCCAGCTCACTGCTAAGCCAGTTTGACATCACAGTTAATGACAGTGATATTGAGAACAAAGTGACAAGGCTGCCCGCTGTGACATATGTTGCAGGTTACTGTGCTCACGCAGCTCTAAAGAAACTGTTGTGCCAATCATGCAAAGAAAACCTAGTAATGGATGTTGCAGAGATAGACACTGCTAAAAATGTCCTCATTATGAGCATGACAAGGGGTGGGCTGAAGTTCCCACGTGAACTTGTTATAAATGCTGTGCTTACCAGGGAAATAGTGCTCGATAAGCTTAGGAGTCCACGCTTTGCAACTCAGTTCTTTGCTCTTCCTAAACAGAAAGAAGTGTTAGTGGCCCTTGTGTATGACATCCTCAGTGATAATGATGACCTGGATGTTTGTGTTGATGGGCATGCTCCTCAACAGGTCATGCATTACATTTTAAGTGCAGCAGCAAACACCCTCCTAAACAACTTGTGCAAAACGGCTAACGACAAGATGTCTGCCACAAAGGCAAAAACATCAAATGACAAGTTGCCTGCAACAAAGGCAAAGCGAAAACTTGAAACTGTTAAAAATTGAAGTGTCCTTATGCACTTTTGTTTCAACAGTATTCTTTGTAAATGAACTGCTTTTTTATTTATCGTTGTCAAGTGAAATGATCTGCATCCTACCATTTGTGAGAAGGCTGCCAATCTTGTCAATCTTGTTCTTTCTGTTCTGTACGGAAATTGTGCACATATGTGTTCCGATGCTTGAAGCAGCAATTCGTGCCAAAGCATAAAGTGCATTTCCAGAAAAGTTACTACAGCAACTTCCAGACGCTGAGCCACACATGCACTTTTATGCTGACTGTTATGCTGCATATAATAAACAAATATTACTACTGAGCAGAAATGAGTCATTTTCTCTTTGAACACGAACATGTTTCTTCCACTTTCAGCTGCTGACACTTTGTTTTCATGTAACGTCAAATTTGCCATTTTTCCAGCATACCTGTTAGAGCTTTTGAAACTCTAGGAATAACATCCGGATGTATTAAATGTATTATTGGAACCACAGCAGGGTTGAAAGTTATTACCTGATATCTGCATTGACGATTGAAATTTAGGTAAGTCTCTTCCAATCATTTAGAAAACTCATGTATAATCAAATTAGCAGATGCCTCCTTAAGAAGCGAGGCTACCATCTGTAGCGATTTTTCCCGCTCAAGCTGCGTGCGTAATTGTGGACGCGGCATTCTAGTTAGCTTCTGTGCGTAACGCGAGCGAATTTTACTTTTGTCGCAACCTGCCGCTTTGCGGAGCGAACGGGTGAGGTGAAGCCAACTTCCAGAACGATCCTACTTGCGTGACGTCACGGCGCCGTGTGGGGGCCTTGAGTTTTCTAGGTGGTGTTGGGAGAGCGGAGGAGTGAGCGAAGGGGGGGAGGGGGTATAAGGCGCGTTACTGACACCGATATCAGCGTCGCGTCCGTGGCTTATTCGGTAGAGCGTCGCGCTGCGGCCCGCCAAGTCCTCTTTCTTTTAAAGATAGAGAGCAGACTGCGGACGCCGCCGACGGCGGTGGATGGTTTGGGGTCGCTTATAAAGTGTATTCACACTTAATATGTGTAAATAGTGGCATAAACCTGTTTGTTTTTCGTATCCCCTTTTTGTCAGCGTTCCTTCCTCCACCCGGTTACACCACGCTACCACAAGAGACCGGGTAGACCCCCATTCATAACAACGTGTTGTCTGACTCCGGTGTGTGCGGAGCGTTAACATTGCATACCGAGGAAACCGAAAACATATCTTTTTTTCACGATGTCTCAAAATCGTGTCAGGACTCCTTTAAAGCAGGTGCGACGTCTTCCTCGAGTTTGCCGCAATATCCGTTTCTCTCCCAGTGTTCACGTTGTCCGATGAGTTTACCAATATAAAATTGGCTAACGCGATTCTGCATACACTGTGCGTTGTTGTCGATTGCAAACCCACTTCTTAGCCTTATTCTACAGGAAAAGGTGAAAAAAAAATCACGACATATCCACGAAGTGAATGATGATGAGTGGGCGAAAAAGTGCGATCGGTCGGTGTTACCGTAAAATCAGCCAGGACATTGACCACTCACGAATGTAAATGAGTTGCAAGTGGTGCACAGCTATATAGAATGTTTATTGATCACAACAGGTATGATGTTGTGTTGAGTTGCGAATTTCGTTTTGCCTTCTGCTTTGTGGTATCGCATCTCGCCTGAAGTGGGCAAAGACGAGGTCTGGGCACGTTCCACTGGTGGTTGCTTCTAGCCATAGCGAAATGTATCGTAAAGCTTATGTAGACGTCATCTACTGCACAAGTCACTCGTTTTCCGTGATCACCAATGTCATCATCTTCGTCGTCAATAGCATCATCGTCATGGCGTGTAGCGGGTACCTTGCACTGTGTTGTTGTGCCGTGTGGGCAAAAAGAAAATGTGTGGTCTGGAACGCGCTTGCTCTTCATCGTCATCAACATCATCGTGATCCAACGCCAACGGACAAGCCTCGATCATGAGGAGCTTCGCCCCTAAAAAAAAGAACATTTTCTCAAAGCGCCGCTTATGAAAGAACCCGCTTTCCGATTCGTTACCAACAGCGCGTTTTTGTTCGCCATAAGGACGAATCCCTGAAAGTTTTAAAAGAGTAATACATTTTATAGCTGAGCCGACGCAGTGCTTCTCATTTAAGTCCACTTGCATGTGTGGAATGCCTAGATCGCGCCCGCTTTTTGAGAACGATCATGCGTTATACTTCTCAGACGTTTCCAAACAAACCTTTACAATACGCACGACGAAGCTAATGAGCAGTGCCACCTAATCTATTACTGGAACACATACTCAACAAGCTTTTTTATAAATATAAAAAAAGCGGATAATACGCAAATGCAGTCGACCATAACAAGACGATCAATTCGCCACTCCCCCCCCCCCCCCCTTTTTTTTTTTCCGATCCGTAAAACGCCGATTCCCGTCTGATGACCGCCAGCTACTTAACTGGGGAGTAACACTGCGTTTGCCGAAGCGTGTAGCTGGAAGGGTGGAGCAGCCACGAGCAAACGAAAAAAAAAAAAGAGAGAAAGAAATACCTTTGGGCGTTGTTCAGCGAAGCAAATATTCCTGCTTCGTTTTCTAACCTCACTTACGTGAATGTACACGTCCATGCGCACTCCTTTTTTTCCCAATCATCGCATGAAACCACTTTTGTTCTCGCTTCGTGCCTTTGCTTTCAGTAACGATTGCAAGCATTACGCAGAACTCTGCGCCGGTAAACACCACCATCAACGCGATTCCGGAGTAAAGGAAACAGAGCAGAAAGGC